CGCCTAAATGCAATTTGAGTATGCAGCGTCGGTCCTCCGGGAAATTGAATATCGCATGAAATGAAGTAAGTTTGTAATATTATTGTTATTATGCTACAAACATTATGTAGTATAAATTTACGCCGTCAGTTGTAGTTAACGTGTGTCGGAATGAACTATCAAACTGTCTGGGTGTTTGTCTTAGGTAAATAGTATGTTTATGCTTATGATTGAAATGTATTCCAGTTAAATGAATATCGAACGACAACGGGTTGCCGTAGCTTCGGTTCGAACGGTTTTAGGAACGGCGTTTTTAGTCAGTAAGAGACTGACACTCCCGCACGCCTCACCCAAGGCGGGAGAAGTCATTGGATGATTTCACCCCTTTAAAACAAAGAAATAGTTAGATGAATATCATCTTCTATAAAGAAATTTTGATACCAATTAATTGGGATGTTGACAGGGTATGAAAATAAAAAATCTAATTAGTCCGTAATGAAAAAATATTACACAAATATTTTTTTATTTTGTCATTTAATAAAACAATACTTAAATGAAACGAATCAAAGTTTCGGAGTGGTCGCTAAAACGTCATTTCTACGTATAAAATGTAAATAGAAGTGACGTCACGCGACGTTTCAAATCAATATATCTTCAAAAGTATTCGTTTCTGTAAAAAAATAAAAAATACGTGTCTAATGATTTAAAATAATCCACCAGACGGGCATTAAAATAAAAATTAGGCATCTACCCTACTGTTTTATCAAATGTAGGATACTTATCTTTATTTCGCTGGGTATGAATACTACCAACAAGCAGACATCCATCCGATTAAGGTACATGTGCATCAAGTCAGTCAGACAACAAAAATCCTATACACTTATATTGATTATACAAGTGACTAAAAGTTGGTATGAGCACTTGATAACGTCTGCTTATCCCTTTTGCCAAATTATAAACATGAAGTTATTCTATAAAAATCATTTGAAAAGAAATATTACATCTATAGAAGAAAATGGTCCTTGCAAAGCTACTCAATAGCCGTATTACAAATTGTTTTTTTTTTCTCTAAAGAGCTCTTCTAACAAAAACTACTTACCATTCTTCAAGAAGGTTGAATGTTATTGTAAAATGAAGATTATTTTCTTTTAAAAAGCGACGGAATTTTCCATCTTGATAGTATAAAAGCCTTTACAATATTTTTTGTGCCGATAAATATTGAATAATCATGGAAATATTACACAAATATTATGATGTGATTGAAAAATCCTCGCGAAAAACTGATCTGTTCAGTTTAACACAAGATCTTTTAATAAATTATTATGTTTTCGGCTTACTCACGAAGTAATTCGACGAGGAAATGCTGCTCATAAATATGAGCCTCTAGCATGGCTTGAAACTAGTCGAGTTCCTCGTCGAATTACTACGTGAGTAAGCCGAAAACATAATAATTTTTTTAGTATGTCTCACGAAAGTTACAATTCAAAGATCTTTTAAGTTTCAAAAACATAGCACCATCAAATTGGAAACTTGGTTTGTTACAAACGAGTTATATAACTTAATCAAAACACCCAAAATCATAAATAAAATCATTAACCCAACCCCTGCCGCAACCAAATCAAAATTACTCAAATCATTTTACATCAAGCCGAAATTCGCGCCAAAACTCGACCCGCTCATAATCCGAGAATTGATCGCATAAATTCAAAAATATAAAATGGCGTCACCTTTTCAAGGGTTAGTTACAAAAATGGCTGCGGGATTGATAAAGCAGGTCTTATGATGGCTCTGATAAAACGCGATGGAAATGATAAGCCGCGTCGTGATGCCTTTGGTGAGATTTTCCGAACCCTTAAGTGTTGGGACCTTAGTTTCATGGTTCATTGTTAGCGTAGTTTTGTTTGGTATTTTGTTGACGTTATAATTTACAAGCGAAAGCCTATTGAATAGCGATTTTGCTAGTCTAATTACCTAATTAGTTAAATATACATATGTCCACTTTCATACATTTTCTCAATAAGATAATGATATTAATTTAAGCTCATCACATATGAGATGTTATTGTTTGTTTGCCGCGCTAATCTCTGGCAGTTGGTAAAAGTTTGGTTATAGAGGTAAACTTATATTTTTACTAGTGTCAATTTCAGGATATTAAAGTAGAAGGACTTGCGAAGAAAATTGAAAATAATGTTTATTTAAGTATTTGAAAAACACAATTTATTTTCAGATGCTATATAAGCTCAGTTTTATGAAGAAACATATTTCTATACATACATTTAAAAACAAATGAAGGTGCCTTACACTAATGTACACACATACATACATACCTACATAGCAAAAGGGCACTCAACTTGAACGTCTAATACATTCGTCATCTTTCCGAGAGCGGAGTGCTATTCACAAACCTCAACCCTGCTTGTGTTTAGACACACAATAACAACCCACCATCGACTCCAAATGGCCTTGTACTCGTTACATTAAGGCTCATTTTCCCGTGTACGGAAGGGTTAACTTTCAAAGTGCTGTTACACTTGATCGGTAGATTGTTAGGGTTGTCCTAATGTTGATAATATTTTGGTATAACTGGGAAATAATGTGACATTTTGATACCTTGAAATCGTTTTTTGTTATTGCTTATTTTGATAAATGGTAGTTCGAGTTCGAACAGATTTTTTAATAAAATAAAAATGGTTTTACAGTTAATCGTTGTCAATGTTGTCATAAAAGAGAGAAATTTACATAATTCGCAAGAATCACGATCTCTCAAGAAAAAAAAACAACAACAAAATCACAGAATCACAGATAATTGAATTGTGAACCCCTTGCTGTTCGTCATTCGCTCATTTATTATGCGAACAGTTGAAATTGTTCATTCACTCACTCAGAACGGAACAACTTTTAGGTACTTTTCGTTCTTAATGTCAATTTTCACTTGGGAAAAATTTTGTCACTCGGAAAATTATTTTCGAATCATTTATTAGGTTTAGGTCAATGTGAATGTTTTATCTAGACTTCTTTATTGTTTCTATGGTCTCCGTTTCGGTTCCAGTCGAACAGAGTAATATAACAATATTAAATATATCATACCATCGTGCCTTTTTATCCACGAAGGGTTAGGCAGAGGTGCACATTTCGGCAGTTAATGCCACTGTACAATGTAACACCCACTTTTCACTATTTACATATTTCATTTATAACAATACTAGCTTTTACCCGCGGCTTCGCTCGCTTCACAAATGGATAAAAAGTAGCCTATGTGACATATACCAATACACATAGCGCCATCTATACCAATACTTTTTTTCCCTCGGGAATATCAAATCTTTCCGGGATAAAAAGTACCCTATTATTGAATCTGGACTTCTAACTTTACGTCTGCAAAAATTCAAAGCAATCGGTTTAGTAGTTACGGCGTGAAACCGGAACAAACAAACTCACTTTCCGATTTATAATATTAGTAAGGAGTAAGGATTACTATGTAGACTGGAACTGTGCACTCTGATGATAAGCCCCCTATTACATATATAGGACCCATAACTTAATATGAAGTAGGTATTACACATTTTATTTTCTACAGAACTTTAATACCTATTATAGGTAGTTTACTATAGAATAACATCGCATACCTAGCTGCTATTATATGCTAATCATAGTGACCTATGTTGATTTAGACTAGAATTGTAATAATATACGTCAGTTATTAACAAAGAGTGGCCTAGAATGACCTAATACTACACAGACTAGCTTAGAATATACTACCAACACTTAGCTTTATATTCACTTAGAATTACTTAGCTGAGACAAATATAACTTAATTTAACATTTTTTTGGATATTGGTCAAAATATCTGTAGAATTATTTATGATTTACTGGTTAAACATAACATCACAGTATCGATAGTGGTTACGTAACTGTTCAATGAGGTAACTCAACTAGTTTCAAGCTACGCTGGGGGCTCATATACATGAGCAGGCTCAGTACAAATTTTATTTTGATTTTTTTTCGTTTCAAGATCGTAATAAGACAACCATCTGACACGGCATAGCTTATTGTCAATTACCTACTAATTATTAAATAAGTAGATCAAAATATAACAAGTCTAAGCCTCGTTCTATTTGTCTCAGCCATAAAAATAGATTAATATAGTTAAAATTTACAATTTATAAAGGTAAATCATATAGTGCCGATAACGCATTGAAATATTTGAAATTTTAACAGTTTTATTTTAAAGGTATTTAAATTATGTAATGTAATTTTTATATTAAAAATAGTTTATTCTCACGGACCTTGCCTTTATCATACAATTACATGTTATTAAATAATGTTGGTATCGGTACTATAAAGACGAAACATATCTATTTAAAAGAGGATAGGCAGATAAGCACAATTGTTACCATTTGATGCCTTACCTTAAAATGAAAAAATACCAATTTTAATAGGAGTAATTTATTGCGTTTCTTCTGGAATCGTTGTCTATAGCTATCTACCTGATAATATACTTATCTGTCTCTCCTCATAACTCCTTATACCTCTAATATAATGTTACCACAGGGGTAAATTACAAAGCGCATACAACCTAATGCGGGTGCAGCCCTCTCTGATTAGACGCCTTTTGTGAGTTACCCGCCCTGAACGGGATACATCCAGTTCTAACTGGATTGCATCGGCGAACTCCAGAACACAGTCATACGCTTAACATGATGGAGGGAAAATTACGGTCGAGATAGTGAAAGTCGAGGATTTGTGTTAAAAGCTATAAGATATTCTTTACTATGACTGTTTTCTAAATTGAGAAAAACTTGGAGAAGTATTAGATAACTATTAATAAATGCTTTTTCAAGTTTCTACGTAATATAATACTTTAGCAATCATCACTAACAACATCGAAATACATACATTAGCAAAAATAATTAAGTATTCACTCATAACTTTGTCCATCTCATTAGCAATAATAATAAAATACTCATAACTTTACTTTATTAATTAATATAATGTACATACTAACGTAATTTATTTCGCAGCGGACGAAAACGGATCCATTTCGGAGACGATACCGGACCGGCCCGTCGAACTCAAAAACTTTCCAAAACTCTGCGACCAGCGGAGAAAATACCCTGTTTTATACAAACTAGAGTTCCAAGTAAGTACTATTTTATATTATTATACCACCTTGTTAGTCAAATAAGTAATTACTTAATTAAAGTTTGGACTAGACCAGCGGAATTTCGTTGGAAACTTTGTAGGTTGTTATAGCCTAAAATAATAGTCCGAATTCTTGTACCTAGCTTTATACATAGATAGGTATGAGTCTTATACAAAAACAAAAGATTAACAAACTCAGTTTACTAATTCAATGTTTTGTTTCTTCAACTCAAATCGTATTTTGAATGTAATTGGAACAATATTCTATCTTTGTTTGCGTAGTAATGAAGATAGCATAAAATAATAATTAAGTAAATATGTTTCCCAGAATCTCACATGACATTGTTTAGGTTTTTCTGGGAGTATAATATTCTAAAAGACAAAGACTCACACTTTGCCTTAAGGCAAGGCACAAGAATACCTACCTGTCTTTGGACATCTATCGTCTCAATAAAAAATATCATAAAATGTGCCAACTATTGAATTCTTAAATGCCCAGAGTAAATCGACTACTCATTATAAAACTTCCATTTAAGTCATTAAAAAAACAATTTGCAAAATATACCAGTTCAACTCGCTTGAGTTGAACTGGTTATCAATACATCCCGGATAAGTTCATCCCATTTTGGTGTCAGGCCAAGAGCCTCCATCTTGGGACATAATAAGTCACTGTAACGATCGCCTGGCCTGGAGCCTGGGGCCTGGGCCACGTACAGCTAAGTGTAAGCCTCACTCATTGATAAACGGTCTCAGGAAATTAAGTGTCGCGGAAGATATGGGTATTTTACTTCATCCTTCCTTTGTCTCCGAACTTTATAGGGATTTCCATCTTTTTGTTGAGATGATAAAGCAAAAATTTTGATGGTGAGACGTGAATTTTCTAATTTGCATCAGTTTTGGAAAAGATCAAATCAAGTTGCGGAAATAAATAACGTTTATCGTTATATGTAGCGATTTGCATTTTTTATTGTCTCGACTTTATACAAATGATGCCTAGAAGAACATGTAGATTAGAATACAACGCCATGTTTACTATTCGCCAAGGGAATTCTAAACCAATTCTACAGCTATACACTAATTATAGTCGCGGAGAACCTAACGGGTTCCCGGGGCTCCGGCTCGACGTGCAGGCATTCAATGACTTTCCCTCCTTAAAAAAATACACTAATTATGTTGAAAGTTCAACCGAAATACAATACATCCAATACAAAGTACTCAATGCTAAGAATAACTGCTGTAGGCAAGCTTAAAATAAAAAAAAACCAACAACTAATAAAGTACAAAGAGAATGACAATAACCAACAAATTCATTCATGAACAAAAATAAACCTTCGCTAACGTAAAAGACATTTTAATTAGAAATAAAGAAAGAAAGAGAACCATGATTAAATTGTCAATTTATGACTGAAACGTCAAAAGAAACCGTCCTGAGAGATACTTGTTGAAAATACAGAGACATTGTAATTTGACAATGTTATTTTTAGATGTGAAGTGGATGAATTCACAAGGGACCGAAATTGAGTAATATGTTCCAAAACTTTAGAAAATATGACGAATTTTTGATTAAAAAATCAAATTGTGTAATACTTTGACCCTGAATCTATGCTATATCGTGGTGGTCCGGTGGTTAAGACGCCCGCTTCCCATGTAGATACGAAACCTACCAATGGCAAGTACCAATATGACTTTTTCCGAGTTATGTGTACATACTTTATAATATTATTTAGACACCACTGACAAACGGTGAAGGAAAACGTCGTGAGGAAACCTGGACTTGTAATTTCCAATTATAAGTTTGAAATCGGCACCTCGCAATAAGCAATCGTGGTGATTATAATGCTCAAATCTTTTCCGTGTAAGAAAAGGCTTGGCTCAGCAGTGGGCACTTAAAGACTGATGATGAATGCAATATATTTGCAATGTACACATACCTATCACATGTTCCAGTTTTCTACAGCCATCAACAAAGCTCAATTAAACTTCTAAGTCCAACATATTGTGAACAAAATTTTCCCAAAAATTTATCCGGGGCTAACCTTGTATCACAATAACTCCATTTTTCCGAGGCGGAAGAAAATTTCTCCCAACGAAATAAATGAAGACCGAAAACTTTTGAAAAGGTTTCTTAAATTTTTGGTGTTTCAAACACACAATCTTACTTTTAAACTTTATCGTCGTTATGGGGTTCTTTTTAAGGTTAATAGAAATTTGATATTTATCAGCTATTGGAACACAAGTTAAGGAGAGTGCTATGTCTACCACTTTAACAAAAGCTTTTAAATAAAAGTCATTTTTGAGTACTTTGTGATTGTTCTTTCCAAATAAGTGAAACAAGTGAATTTAATTTTCAAACAGGCTCCAAAACAGCGCTTTTACACTTCATAAAACGAAAAAAAAGTCTAGATGCGGCCGACTTTTTCTAATTAACTAGGCTGAGAAGAAATGTGGAAACAAAGTTCGTCTCTTTTAAAGTTCAAATAAATATATATAAAAGATTATAATGTGAGAACCGTGCAAACGTGTATAATGACTAACCGACTTATTAGAGGATAGTCTAGCAGTAGAATTGTCACGAACGGTTCATGATAATGATGATGAGAGCATATTGCTTAATGATTTCTGTATAGGTAATTGAAAAAATATATAAAAATGAATGCGTAATTTGATTACAGAAAAACTCTCTCCTACAGGCAAAACCTATTTAACGAATTTAGAAGATTTAATAGGCCATGACCTGACCTGAATACTAAACAAACAAGCGACATGTTAATTTGCATATACGAGAGAAACTATCAATGGCAATGCAACTGCTTTATTTCAACAGCAATAAAGATCATATTTCTATACCAAGTAACAAAACCTTATAAAATTTAAGAGCCAAAAAAGTTAAACAATAAACCATTCGGTTTGATTCATAGTCGAAGTCTCTTCGAAATAGATTACAAACTTGCGGCGTAATTCAGTTCCGCGAGTTAATCTTTCAGTGGGGTTTAAAAATTTAATATATTTAACTTTGTAATCCATTCTTGGAGTTCCACTATAAAACGTTGGTAGTTTTAAACTAGTACTAAGTGTGAGAAAGCTATGCTTCGGCACGAATGGTCCGGCTCGACCGGAGTGATACCACGGCCTCACAGAAAACCGACGTGAAACAATGCTTGCGTTGTGTTTCGTCGTGTGAGTGAGGTTACCGGAGGCCCAATTACTCCCTAGTCCCCGTCTCCCGAATCCCTGAATCCTCCACAATCCTCAAATTCCCAATTCCCAAAAGGCCGGTAACGCACTTGTAACGCCTTGGTGTTTCGAGTGTCCATGGGCGGCGCCGATTGCTTATCATCAGGTGATCCGTATGATAGTTTACTGGCTTATGCTATAAAAAAGTTACTTTTATATTTAGGTTACTAAGATGATGTCGAGTGCTTGATAGTGATAACAAAGTAGAACGCATTTGTCACGACCTCTTCTGAGTCTGAATGAGTAGGCTGCGTGACATCGCCGCGACCGCGCACTCTGCTCACGAAGAAGAGCCCCTTTGTGGCTCGAAACTACTCGTAGTGGAGCGTTTCTCAGTATATTCACGCAAGTAACCCGCGAGTTTTGGTTAATTTAGTATGTCTCATGATAGTTATTATAAAAACATGACCTCTTTTATTTATTCATTTTTTATTCACTCTTTAATGCACACAAAATAAGGTACATAAGGCGGACTTAATGCCACATTGCATTTTATCCCAATCAACAACCTCTTCTATTTTCTCAAATCTCAAAGTGCCACTTCTTGCATGTAGATAATCCATAGTCCATGGTGGGGAGGCAATTGCTACACAAGCTGAATTATTTAAAAAAAATAGATAAATGACACAATGTTTAAGAATTTTTATGGTGACCGGCAAAATACTATGTAGCGACAGCCTCTAAGAATGTAGCAGTTCGAGACCTTACTAAAGAAGTTATAAAATTGATAATAGAGATTAGAGATACTCACAACCACGCGCTTTGACATAAAGGGCGTAAGGTAGCTTTACAATTTAAGGATAGGTTAAATAACTAATAAAAGTAACATTCAATCATTTATCCCATAAGACAGCCTCTAGTCAGTATAACTGTTAGAATAAGGTCAATTTTTTATAAAAATTCAAAAGTAAAGGTGGGGTTAGAATTGTTGAGCGGTGCAGTGTCGAGGCGACGGGCGACGCCTAGTGCACTGAACATTACTTATCTAGGTTAACCTCGCCTGACGTGACCCACTTATGCATTATTCGGTGCGATGGATAAGCACCCGTTTTTCCAATGGATATGGAATTTTTAGTCGGAAAATTCAGTAGCATTTGTGATAGTATTGGTGTTTTATTAAAATTTATCTCAATTTGGTTCAGTATTTGTAATTTGGAGGTGGATTTAAGGGCACAAGCCAAAATTTATGTTAAAAAAGTAACGTAAGAAAACAAAACGACATGTGTCGGTCAGTATTTGATAGAGTCAACATATTTAAGAATTCCATTTACTAGTTAGATATCACTAAGCTTACAACGTCGTTGTAATCAATATCAACCTTGTTACTCTAACAGCGAAAGCTGTAGATAGTTATCATAATCCCCTTCCGAGTGTAAAACCGATAGAATTTCACCGATAACATCAACTTGGAGCGCCAACCGCCGGCGACCGTGTAAGGCGACCTCGCAATTTTTCCAATATTCCACCTTCAAAAAGCTAACGTAGAAAATCTAAAAAAACAACTTCGTGCCGCCTTTTGTCAACTTTATCGGAGCGTCGTATCGGGACGAGTGAAGTTTTTCGCTGCTTTTTTCCTCGCTTACTTCGACATCACTCTGTCAACGTCCACCGAGATATACCCCGAATAAAAAATATATTTACGGACGGACGACCGGAAAATTTATCTGCCCCACAGCCCTTTGCAAGTTTTTATTATCAATCGAGGAAGTGTGTAGATCCTATAAATATTACGCACAATTCAAACTAATAAAAAAGTTGGGAGACCACTTTTTGCTGAAGTATTCATTTCGTGTTATTGATAAAAATCTGTTATGTGGCGGGTCAAATTCGTTGAATGGAATTGCAATGTCAAAGGTCCCTTGCGTATAACAGTTTTCGGCGTACAGAAATAAAGTTTATAACATTTACAGTTAGAAAATATTTTGGCTACGAAGTTATTTTGTCGATTAAATATTCGGTAGGACGATCGATCGTGTTTTTTTCATCAATAAGGTCTGATTCATAATTATTCGTCAGACTCATCAGCAATTTCAAACACTTACTTATATAATATGTGTAGTATAGGAGATACTTGACGACTAAACCCAGCGGTAAAGGCTGGCTTACTTTATGGAAAACTAGTTCAAACTCCAACCTAGTTGGGACAAGGCGAGAAGAAAGAGAAGATAATTCTTAAAAGATCATATTTCAATAACCCTTTTATTTCCCTGGCAATGCAACGAATGCGCAATGGTCTGGTTATTTCGATAACCATTCAATGACTGAAAATATCGCTCGCACACAGTCAGCGATTTTTAAACGAGAATAATGAAATGTAAGAATTTCACTTTCCGAGTCTCACCTACCTTTGTGCATTTTTCCACTTTTGTTTGTATTTTTACGCTTCAACAGAAATAGTACGGATTAGAAGTTGGTAGGTATTGTAGGATATTGAGTAAATTACTATCATCATAAATAAAAACCTCTCACACTTAGAAAATAGCTTGAAGACACAATAACATGAAGATCTTAGGTTTCGGACGCCTTTTGAGCCCGAAAAGTTCAGAAAATGATACAACTTTTTGTTGGTAATAGGTAGGTGCTTGACCGCAGTCTCGCCTGATGGTGCAGCTCGAGCGACGATGCAGCCTACGATTCTATAATTAACATTAACTGTGCAAAAGGCAATGCCAATAAAATAATGCCAATAAATAATTCCTTAGCTTGAATCTTTCGAAAATACCTAATAGAAGACGATGAAGAATTCTAATTTTTTATGGAATAGGAGTCAAACGGGCAGGCGGACGGGAGTCACCTGATGGTAAGCGATCAGCGCCGCCCATGTACACCCGCAACACCAGAGGAGTCACAGTCTAATCTAGTATCGTACATAAACATTAATATTCTCAATTTTTTGTTCCAGACAGCGGTCAAAGTGGAGACGCACTCCTGTCGACACGCTACTAAGAAGACAAATTCACATAAAAATCAAAATCAGAAAGTCATACCTTGTGAGTACCACTTATGAGTCACTTTCATATAATTTACTTTCATATAAATTTGTTCTGAACTTCCACGTCCCTTTTAAATATTTATAACTTTGTTCTTTCATATATTTCGCGGTTTGAAGTGTGATTTACATTGCGGCTTGTGACTGGGGATTCTTCGCCGTATATTATTATTACTGTTGAATTTTATATTTTATGAAGTCGAAGCTTTTATTTCAATTACTTACAGGCACTTTTGAAGTCTGTTGTACAAAGCAAGTATGTATTATATATTTGTTTGTTGAATTTTTTATCCAATTCTCGTTTCAGATTTTATATTGATAGAGAGAACATATTGATAGAACTATGTACACAATAGAGACGATGACAGGATATGAAAATTAAAAATCTATTTAACCCGTCAGTTAGATTATGAAAAAATATTAGACACGTATTTTTTAAATTTTGTCATACAAGAAAACAATACTTAGATAAAACGAATCAAAGTTTAGGAGTGGGAGTGAAAACGTCATTTTTACGAATAAAACGTACCTAGAAGTGACGTCACGCGATATTTTAAATCAATATATCGTCGAAAGTATTTGTTTTTGTTAGAAAATTAAAAATACGTATCTAATATTTTAAAATGATCTACAAGACGGACATTAAAATGAAAATTAGTCATCTACCCTATTGTTACATAATTATATATTGATACTAGCGACTCTGTAAAAAAATATATTTGTAAAATACAAACCGAGTATCGAGTAATTCTACCTAATAGGTAACAATAATGATGTACATAGTTTATTTATGGTGCAACTCATTCATTACAAATTTCTATTTTGACATCCCCGTTAAATTGCACAAAATATCTACATTGCAGTATACAGATACACATTGCTTCATTGAAAAAATAAATATCAAAGTTAATCACAACAGAAAAGTCGCGAACTTTTTAACCGTTTCCGATTAAAAGTATGGCAGTCTATCCACGGCTTTATCACGTCATTCCTAGCATTCCACAAAGTACATTTTTATTTGCGACTCCCCATAAAGCTGGCTATAAACAGTGAAATCTTTTTTATTACTTCATCGTGGCTTAGCACGTAAAACTTCGTGGTACAGTATACGACAAAAGTTGGAGAACGATTTAAAATTTTAACTGCAGTTACTTACCAATATTATTATTGTTGTCTTTTCCACAAACTGTATGTAATTATGTGTTTGTAAACGCACCTGGTTCGTACCAGGAATAAATCTGGTAATACACTTTTTACTTACATACATACATAACTTCACGCCTGTCTCCCATGGGGGTAGGCAGAGACTAAGGAACGTCAATAGTCCTTTTTTCTCTACATACCTCTTTTGCTTGATCAACAGTCATCAATCTTTTCATGCATGCTCGTCGGTTAAGGGTACTTTTAATGTGGTCCTTCTTTAATATATCGCCAATCTGGTCAGTATATGTTCGTCTAGGGCGCCCTCTACCGAAGGCCCCATTCATATCCGCTCTGTATACTTCTTTCGTTACTCTACTTTCATGCATCCTTTCTACATGTTCAAACCAGCGTAACATTCCCTTTTTCAATCCTTGTCACTACATCATCTTTCAATCCACATGTTTCTCTAATAACACTATTTTTCACTCGATCACTCAATTTTACTCCATACATATTTCTCAGGGCTCTCATTTCCCTGCTTTCATGCTTCTTCTGCCACACCTACGATTCACTTCAAATTAAATTAACATGATTTAGGACTGTTTCAATGGTCACATAGATTGACTATCAGAAACAAGCACGAGGTTTTAATAGATCGCTCGATCTACTGAAGATCAGTCGAAGGATTGTGCAAAATCGTAATGTTTTTTTTTTATTTTATCAGACTTCAGTATCAACTCCATGTAAATATACTTCTAAAATTCATATTAACGAAAAACATTAATAAGTGCAGTATTTGTGATTGAATTCAATGTCTGATTCTCAAGTCGTTACTGTAGCCACAAAACCGACAAGTCAACATGAGCTTATAAACAAACAAACAGAGATGTAATTGGATCTATCATCAACCAGGCCAATTCCCATTTATTACGGTCAGCGCATCATGTCAACTTCATTCCCTGACCTCATCTCGGCAACTAAAATCAAAATGTAGTAACTAGTAGCTGTAGGTAAAGGTCGCGGGCGAAACCATTACTTATGTATGTATCACGCCTTTTACCCCCGAAGAGGTAGACAGAGGTGAACATTACGGCACTTAATGCCAGTGTACAATCAATGTAACACCCACTTTTCACTATTTATGTCATAAGTCCCATGTAATCGGGGGTGAGCCTATTGTTAATAAGTAATACTTTGCCCGACCTGACCCGGAAATCGAACCTGAGATCCCTTGCCCAGCAGTCGTACTTACGACCACTCGGCCAACGTGGCAGTCACATACCAAACACCAACATATAGCGTGGTATAGTGGTTTATTTTAGTCAGTAAGATTCTGACAAATGCTTTCTCAATCTTCTCCGCGTCACAAGGGGCTTTTTACTTAGAAGTCTGCACTTATAAACTGTTGTTAATGATGATACTCCGTCTGAGTCATTTGATGATATTTAACATTACATAACATAATGCCTCCAATTACTTACGTACTATAAAATTAAAATCATTACAAATTGATTTTGACACTCCTGTTTACTACTAATTAGTGCTCTCCTACCACTTCGGGATAAAGGGAAACAGAAATAAAATAAAACATCAGCTCTAGTTAGCGAGCGCTGGTGCTGCCATCTTTATCGTCTGCAATTTGTCCGTGAATGACGTCACAATAGAAACTAGTGAACCGGGGAAACTGCGGTTGCAATCCAAAGATGGGGTCTGTGCACATAGCAAGAGATTTTCTGGCAAATCAAAATGTTATTTAACAATGTGGAAATATAGAAGAAGTTACAATGAAAGAATGTAGGTATGTTTCACCAGACTTCGTATAACCATAATTTATTTATTTATCATAATTGATGATGTCATCAGGATATAGTTTCCGTCCACTACTAAACGTAGACTTACCCCAAAAATTTGCCGATTCGGAGTCGCGGAGAACCTAACGGGTAACCGGGGCTCCGGCTCGACGTGCAGGAGAAGGAACGGGGTGGTTTTTAGTCAGTAAGAGTCTGACAATCCCTCCCGCCTCACCCAGGCGGGAGCAGTCATTAGATGATTTTCCCCCCTTAAAAAAACCCCGAAAATTGCATACCATTGCGAGACCATGCCCATCAGGTGTAATGGGAAACGAGACGCCATTTAAAAAAAATAACGGTCCTATGATGCTCATGCTCATTCAACATCAACTTTATTGTCATATAACTAAGTTACATTTTTATTTGTCCTATTAAATCCCATTCCCCGTCTTCCAGCCAGTGTGTGCAAGTCCTAAGTGTTCATTTGTTCAACAGCTTCGTTCGTTACCGCGCGGTTTTGTCTAGTGACGTTTGACTCAGCCGCCATATTGTTTCACAAGAAGCCTTTGATTTCAACGGCTTAAATAATTTATTTTGCAACTTAAACTTGCTTGATTATTTAATTTGTTACTTAAGTTTGTTTGTTAGTTTTGTATTTTGAATTATGTTTTGTTTATTGTTATGTATAAATTTTTGGTTATGTCACCTCGGGGATATAAAATTAATAAAGAGACATTAAATAAAAGTATTCATGTGGCGAAATATACATATTATTTGAATTTTCGAGTTCTCTTAAAATCCAGTTAATGTCCAAATTTAGTTACAATACTTTAATATTATAGTTGCGCTCTTGGAAACTCGCATAAGTAATTAAATATTCATCGGAACGAGAGATAACTTAGGATTAAGTGGGTCGTCTACCCACTTAATTCAAAGTATCTAATGTTATAATTATCAATTTTACAGTCACAAGCCGTAGGTATGCGGAGATATAGAAATGTAGATAACATTTCTATAAGTAGGTAACTTCAAGTAAGCAGGTTCACTTAATTATGTAAATAATTAAGTACTTCAAGCAATTCAGAATTAATTTGTATTAATTTTATTTTTTTATTTTCTGTTTACTACTGAATAAAACTTCTTTGTTCGAAACCATTAAAAAAAAAAGAACGAATGAGAATTTGAATCGAAATTTTAAATGGCGTTCGATTTTATTTCCCGCCAAGAAAAAGCGGCAATCTATAAGATTTTTGCACGAGTTAGCTCATTCTGACGAGATTGACGAACGAACATTATTATTTCAATATTAATGTATCAAGTATTTTTTCTATATTCCTTGCCTCTATAGTAGCGTGTCGTATCTGTTTCGACTTCACACCCAAAAATACCATTACCTATTTTCTGATCTTTAACACCTAAACAACGACCAATAATATTCAAGCTTAAGTTAATATTCCGGTACAAGGTTGTAAGTCAAGGTTCGAGTAGCAATATTCTCAATTCTCACCTAATTCCGTATTCTCCACAGACGACTACAACCGCGTGGTGCTAGAGACGGTGGACCGGGAGCCTGACTCCGACTACATTAATGCTTCCTACATAGATGTGAGTATTTTCAATAAATTTATAATATTTTAGTATATTTTTATGGTTATTTGTATATCATTTTGATCACGCACATTGTTGTGGTTAGATTATAACCTCAAAATATGATACTTTTTGTGAAATACCTATATATTTTCTGCAGCTAGTCCGCTATATAAACAAGATCTTCTAAGAGTCTACAAATGATAGAGAATACAATACATACTCCGATACTCTTGGCTCCAGAGCTAACAATGTGTGGAAGCAGAGCAATGTCCTTTCATTGATATTATTATTGTATGTTATAAGGACGTTGAAATACAGTGTACCCTGAACCTAATGTATTAGATTATACAGGGGAAGAAATGGGGAACATTATTATTATTTGCAAACACTTATGCACCACCTTTACGTAATTCTTCAAATCTTTACATAATTTACACTTTCTGCACCGAAAAAACCTGTGGAATTTCTTCCTACCACAACAAAACACCAAGCAGCCTCATAGACCCGTCAGACCACCGGGCCACATCGGACTGATACCGATACGGACCCGCGGAGAACGTAACTGGTTACCGGGGCTCCGGCTCGACGTACAGGGTACTTTTTAGTCAGTAAGTGTCTGAAACTACATCTGGCCTCACCCGAGTGAGAGAAGACATTCGATGAGTTTCCGCCCTTAAAAAAACACAACAAAAAACTTTCCATTTAAACTGTCAAACACCAAGCTGTCACCGGTGACCGCAACCTATTGTTCTTTAATTGTGTCTATAAATACGGTACTCGACGAGTTAATAGAAAAGCAGGCTTAAAAATACAAAGAAAATAAAATCTTTACTATAAAATCTACTACCGCTAACCACTCTTTAATAAGCTGCCTTAAAAATCTCAGCCTTTAATTAAACGGCTCTCTTCTTGCATTACAGACACATTAATTATACGGTCTGACTAAAGCCTAATTATCTTCATTAATAAAGTGTAATTACTCGGTAACCGGTCGATAGTCGTTATTTTATCTTATGACTGGTATCGTCTTGCTTAAGAGGGATTCGATACTGCTTTATCTGTTGACTAGCTTTTACCCGCGGCTTCGCTCGCGTCACAAAAGGATAAAAAGCCAATGTGACATATACCAATACACACAGCGCCATCTATACTTTTGTTTTCCCTCGGGAATATCAAATTTTGATTTTTTAATCGGGATTATTTAATCCGGACTTTTAACTATACATCTGCAAAAATTCAAAGCAATCGGTTTAGTAGTTACGGCGTTAAAGTGGAACAAACAAAGTCACTTTCCGATTTATAATATAAGTAAGGATTTATAAAAAAGTTACTTAAATACAGTCAAGAACTAGGTACTCGATTTATTTTGATGAATTTAATAAACAAACCTTTTTTACGTTACGTTCAAACCTTTTTTGAAACTCTGGAACACATAAAAAACTCAAATCTTATAAAAAAAATATATAACAACAAAAGAAGGCCATACTAGATTACATTTCAATTACGTTTACGCCGGCAGTTCTCAAAACGTCCTCCACTTCAGTACATAAAAAGTACTGGAGTAAACCTTAGAATTCACCGTTTCATAAGATTTCAGACGATCATGAATTTGGTCACGTCCACACATAATGACTGTACGAATTGTTGGGCTCAATATCCCTCTGAAAAGGCTCGATTCTGAAGCTGAACGACCCTGAAGGACCAAAGAATATCAACTAGATATTGTGTAGAATTGAAACCAGTTCGAGGGTGTCTTGATAAAAACCTTAGGACCCAATTTGGCGACAAAAGTGTTGAGGTAAAAGACTGAAAAGGTTTTTTTGGGTTTAAAGAATTTATTCAAATAGAAAACGTATTAGTGCGTGACGTGTGACTTAATTTTGTATTAGGGAACGTCTAGAAACAGTCAAAGATATTTTGAATTGGGTTTTTTAACACCAAAACAACAAATCAACACTTATACACACACGCATCCATAATACCAATGCTATCTTCAAACGAAGGTTAACAAAGGATTTTCACTCGAACGTTTTTTACTACAATACATTCTTTAATAAAAATCCGACTCTACCTCTACAACACACTTCATAATATTCTCAAGTCACACTATATCCTTGTTCTTTGATAAAATTCCACCAGACTATCGCGGAAGCTTCACAAAGACTGTTATAATAACAAAAGTTAAAAGAAGTAGATATTAAATTTGATACTTACGCCACCGCCAGCAGCGTCTATTTTATCAGACAATATTCTACGAAGGAGCATTTTAACGAAATTAAAATGCTGTACAATAAATGCATTCCTACCGGGCCGTTTGCTACACGAACCAGGTGTACCAAAAGAGGAATTTCCTTAGTAGGTAAGCTAAATCGGCCGACGGCAATATTAGTTTTCTAGAACTTTCCATTAAGTTCTCGAAGGCTTATTAAGCCCGGGGTTTGCTTTGATTAAAACCTGGTACAGGCAAGTTGTCTTGCAAATAAAAATGTCTTTCGGTATTGCCTTTGACGTCTTAAGGAGATTATTCTGTGTCGGAAACTCTTTTCATGCTAAGACCTAGGATGACATGAAGACAGATTTCATATTAATTGTGTAGCGCGTGTGTAATAAAGAAGTATTAACAAAGCAAAGGCAATTACCTAGTAGGTATCTTCAAATTGTTATAAAGTCTACAATCTACATATAGTTATTTTGATTTTGGGTGTATTAATTATGTGAAATGGATGAATTGCATCCCAAATTGAATTAGATCTAACAAAATTTTGTTATCAAAACTTTTATTAAGTTTTTAACACAACATCACGCCTTTTATCCCCGAAGGGATAGGCAGACGTGCACATTACGGCATTTAATGCCACTGTACAATATAACACCTTCATTTCACTATTTATGTTATGAGCCTCATGTAATAGGAGGTGAGCCTATTACCATACACCGGGCACAATTCCAAACTCCGTACTACCACTGAGAATTTTTTTAAAAACCTACAGTACTTTACCCTTAAAATTGAACACTAAACTTCTAGCCGCATTTGCGACCACTCGGTCAACGAGGCAGTCAGTAAGTTTTTTATTATGAGCAAAAACATCCCTTTACACATTACGTTTACTGTTGAAATCAAACAAAATAAATCCAAATTGTTTCCAAAGGACCTTTTTTGCATCAAAGTCCACAAAACTTGTTACGCAAAAAAATATGAACCTTAGACGCAGTTTGCTTGGTCTATAAAGAAAACGCCAGCTTGGTAAAAGTGGGCAAAATAATTATTATTATTGATATTGGGTAAAAAGGTCTTGTTATTTTTGCTGCCGCTTATTGCTATAAGAAACTGTGTGTGTTTAACTACATATGTTTTTGTCATGCGTTTGTTTTAAAAAATCGTAAAGGTAGAAGTTATCAGAGTAATAATGTTGCCACTAATAAAATTTTGACTGTTCAATATGTTTTTATTTTCAAGAAATTCACTGGATATCTTTATTTTTAATGTCCAAAAGGAAATGTTTGGTAAGAGAAGCAACTATCTACTTATTTTATAATCAGTAGATATTAAAATGTTAATCAGTGTTTTAGAACTTGATAGCGTACGAAACTCATTGTAAAATAATAGGTATCCATATGTATTAATTTGACTGCTTTCCAACTAAAATTCTTTAGTCTACCTCAAGGTATCCAAGTAAAACAAATGTGAGATCATATTAATACCAGCTAGTAATAAATCCTGTGCCAGATGAAGTCCATTAAATTTTGATGTCGTCATAAAAGTCACGTTTGATGTCCCATGCAGCCTCCACATAGCTAATCTAGTACATACACCGAAGTTTGCCCACGCATTTTTATTGGAAAAATATTGATTCCGCACTGTGATGCAGCAGAATAAGAATGACTTAAAACAGGCTAAGTGTAATGAGAAATATACTTAAAATATTCTAAACAAGCAACACCAATTTTGAGCTGGGAACCCTGTGCGACACCTCCACAAAAGTATTATTTACTAATAATTGAAACAGCGAAATATATAACAATCAACAGCTCGTGACAGTTTGCTGAACTCCATAGAATTTAATTCAGTTCCGTAGAGATTAGATCAAATTATCTTATGTAGAGGAGGTATGGCCGTCTCTCTCTCTCTATGCTTTTTTTAAGGGGGGAAAATCATCGAAAAACTGCTGGGACTGTCAGACTCTTACTGACTAAAAACCACCCAGTTCCGTCTCCTGCACGTTGAGCGGGAGCCCCGATAGGTCAGGTTCTCCGCGACTCCGAATCGGCATCAGCCCTAATGGGCCCCATCCGTGGTGGTCTGATGGCTCTATGAGGTGCGCGCGGAACGCGACGCGCTGTACGCTCGAGTGGCTCACTCACTATGCTTGGCAGGTGAAATAAGACCCGAATCTATATTTATCAGAATTCAGAGGCTGTTAGTTGCAACTTCACCTTTGCTGTCTATACCTACGGGAAGGGTACGGATATTTATAAATAAAAATGAATTTCTGGTCGTTAGTTTCACTAAAACTCGAGAACGGCTAAACCGAATTAGTGAACGTCCTGTTTAAAAGGTCAGACAAAATGTTTAATGGTACAAGCCTGCCGGGTTAACTAGAACTAAAATAAACAATACAACAAAATATGGCCTACTCTAATCTTCATCTACCTACATCAACACACAATACCATTTACGAGTACCTTCACACGAACTTTACGATCTCTCCAACGAGGTCGGTACTATAAATGTCAATGTCTAATTACCTTCTTTTAATTGTTCACAGAGTATATTAAAACCAAATGCGTACATCGTAACTCAGGGTCCAACTGAAGACACAGTGGTGGATTTCTGGCGAATGATATGGCAGGAGCGGGCGGCAGCCATTGTTATGCTCACTAAAACTTTCGATTTTATCAAGGTAAGTCATTTCTTGTATAATTTTGAGAAACGATGCTTTGTGTGATCGATGTTCCCGGTCTAAGTGTGATACACATATGAAAATTATGTGTTTCTAAACAGGAAAATAATTGTGAAGGGTATCGACGTGGTTTTATGGAAAAATGTATATTATATTCCGATTTTGCGTCTGTATTGGAAGCTAAATTTAGTTTCATTTCAAGATTGTTTTTATTTATGATCTTATAAGTATCTATTTTTTCTTTTTATTAATCTGTCGAGTACTATTGTTTTTATATTGTAAGTAGGTAGTCGTCATTAATTTTCATCGAAAACCTTTATCGGTTTTACCTTCATTTTAAACATAATCTACATCATTTAAAAAAATGTGTTCTCTCGTTTACGTATATCACGGCGCAACTTTTCTAAAGATGTTATTACAAGAAGCCGTAAATAACACTTTCTTGCGAAGTTTTAGTGAAATGTTGAAGTATTTGTAAAGAATCTCTTATATTTGTTGCGTAACGAGCAATTTGTTCAGGTCCTCGCTCACTCACTTCATGTCATAGAATATTATGAATACCTCGTTGGTCAAATGTTCGTCAGTGCGGTTGCTAAGCATTGAATCGCGGGATTGATTCCTAGTACAAATTCCTGGGTCAGCTAAATTTTGGATTCGTGTCGGGTCCGATTATACTCAAAAATAGTGCGAACTCTGTAATTGCGTAATTAATACAATCACTATTGCCCTATACCGCTATTACATTGGACTCATAACGCAATTTCAGAGTGGGCGTTACATTTTAATGTGAAAATCTTTCTACCCCTTTTTATTTTTATTATTTCCTTTTTAATTTAAGGGACTTTTATACTGTACAGAGTATGTTAGTCCCATCGTAGCCTAACAAGTGTATAAATCAACTAGCGATCAATGAATCAGACCCATGAAGTTGAACAACATTCTCGCATTATCAGTACTCTGCTCATTTAATATTTTACGGAATGTACCTATATCGTTCTTGTTCAACTGCAAGTCCATGAGTAACTTATTCCTATCAGTCTCATATCGACCACATTCCATCAACAAGTGATGCATGTCCTCGACAACTCTACACTTTCTATCCCTTCAAGGATTATAATACGTGACGATGTGTTGTGGTGTTTATGAAGCATTCTCTATGAATTCCAGAAACCTTTCATACGAACTGATAAGTATTGAATTACAACAAATAAGTCTTGTTTGTCACCAAACTGTCTTCCTTCCATTCCGTACTCAAACACTGCGATTCGGAACAATGATGGTTTGTAGGCCGAACAAATATTTGTTCCGATGTGCAAATGGAAAGCGACCCTGAACAAAGAAATTCAGATGCCATGGTATCATGGTGTTTTGAATGCTTTGTTTAGCTGTGGCTTTGATTTAATCACAATACCATTGCAGTGCACTATACAGCATTAAAATTGAATAATGAATGAAAGCTGTTTACATCAGCACTGCATGAAATGAACACAAGCAGTAAAATTTTAATTAATTATTCTGTTTTGTGAAGCGTTTAAATGGGTATAAAAGTGGACAAATATTTGTCCCTTATAAAATTGTTTTCCGAGATAGACGATATTAAATATATTTGGTATAACATTAGTCCTAAATAATCTTTAATATTAAAAAAAAAAAAAAAAAACATTAGTCCTAACAATATTATTAACATCAACAAATGGCATCTTCATCCTAGACCCTCTTTACTTTTGCCCATCGAACTCAGAACTTCGTAGTCAACACGTTATACAACATAATAAAGTAATATTTCATAGCTACGAAGCATATTTTTCAGAGCATTCATAAAGAAAACGTATGAAGTGCATACCCGAGGCGAATTACCACAAATTGTTAACCCATGTTGGTGAGGCGCCGCGCGCAAGATGTGCTTCAAATTTTCTGAAAAATTCACACCATTTTACAAATTCCAAGTCGCAATCTTCTTCGTATTGTGTGGAAATATATGTATCTGGTCTTTCTTTTGTACAACTATATGTACAACGTATTGTGGAAATTCAAAAATCTGAATATTTTAAACTATGTACCGTAGGTATCACTCCATAGAACAATGAACAAACTTATTCTATCTGACCCGATATATTCTTCATAATCATCATCATCATTATTATCGGCCATAAGATGTCCACTTCTGAACATAGGCCTCACCCAATGACATCCAGATAGGCATGATATGTACGCTTAGCTTATTTTTGAGGGGGAAAATCATCCAATGACTTCTCTCGCCTTTGGTTAGGCGAGGAGTGTCAGACTCTTACTGACTAAAAACCACCCCGTTCCAACTACTGCTCGAGCCGGCGCCCCGGCAACTCGTTACCTACCACGGCTCTGTACCGGGCATCAGCACTACTGAGCCCCATCTGTGGTTGTCATGTATGCTTAACTTAGGTACCTTTAAAACTTTGCAACAATAATTTTTTTTATTAGATAGCGTGATTCAAATTCAAGAGAACGATGTTTGTATCCGAAAAGTAGCAGATAAACCTAAATAACCAAATAACAACATAAAGTGTGGAAGAGCCATACTTCGGCACGAACAGGAAACCGACGTGAAGCAACGTTTGCATTATTTTTCGTCGTGTGAGTGAGATCCCCAAAAAGTCGGTAACGCCTCTGGTGTTCCAGGTGTCCATGAGCGACGCCGATTGCTTACCATCAGGTGATCCGTCTGCTCGTTTACCGGCTTATCCCATAAAAAAGTCTTTAATGATGCAACGAAGCTCTTTTACGGTATAATTGTAGTGTCTGGAGACCGGCTTGTGCCGTAAAAAACCGTGGGAAGCCGGGTCAGGTCGCTAGTTCTACACAAATTCAACACTAGGTACTACAGAAATTTCTTAATTTGCCACTAATTCATGAGCTACCTCGTTCATAATAATTACTTAATGCAAAAGGCAAGTTTGTTCTACTTACACGCCGCCGTCCACACAAGTTTGGCGAAAGTAGTGTACATGTAGCTCCCTTGGGGTACTCCCAGAACTTATTACAGGCAGGTGAAGCTTATGGCTAGAGATGACTCTTATATTATACGGTTAGGGGAAAGAATAAGTTTTAGATGTCGTACATAGCAACACACACATACCCGTTTTTCATCAGTTTCATTATGAGTTTCATGTCACATACCAGGCAAGATTTTAAACGTCATGCTAATAGTTTTCGAAAAACCAAACCAACAAGCTCCATATTTTTTGAAATAGGTTAAAGATAATCCAAAAGCGCCTTGCCCGACTGGAGAATCAAAATTGGGACCGTTTACTCCACTGTCGAACCATGAAATACCAAGACGCAAATGGTCATAACATATAGAGGTATAACACAGAAATTCAGTCTAAGAACATCGCTAGTCGTTGTCCTAACATATCATACCTTTCTGTATACAGCAACGAACGACACACCTATTTTTAATCTCAAAAAAAAAACAAACCTGCGCCCAAAGTAACCAGAGTATCGTTGTTCAGGCATTACCTCACACTCCGGCAGTTACACAAAGTTCACTGAAGTTTCCTCTCCGGAGGGAAACTGCCTTAAACAAATCATAAAGCGATCAAACAATACCGTCGGATCCCATCCTTCTTGTTTGTTTAATCCTGTCAGATTATCAAGATGCCTATCTTGGGAATTAAAGGCAGTGTTGCTGGAATATTTAGGTTTTTGATGTCATAACATCTGAAACAGATTCATGGTCTTATGTTTAGGTTAGCATTAACTATCATAGGTAGATGATCATTATCAGCCCTTTTCCTTCCATTGCTGAACAATAGACATAGCCATGAGCACTCCACTGAGTTAATCTTTAACTTCTCGCGTTTACCGCCCATCTGCCATCTTGTATGTATATAACATGACACACGTAGTAATTGTATGATCGTCATAAAAAGATATTTCAAGCTATTGTAATAACGAGATAAATCCTGGTGATTCACGAGTTTAGCAAATCATTATTGGGTTTGTCAATTTATGTAATAGTTAGTTGACAGGGTATGAAAACTAAAAATCTAATTAGTCTGTCAGTTAGATTATGAAAAAATATTAGACAGGTATTTTTTTCTATAAAGTTACAAATTAGATAAAATGGATTTAGTTTAGGAGTGGGAGGTCATGAGGCACGACGTTTAAAATTAATATATCGTCGAAAGTATTTTTAATTTTGTGAGAAAAGAAAAAGTACGTGTGTAATGTTTTAAAGTAATCTACCAGACGGACATTAAAATAAAATTTAGGAAACTACCCTATTCTCAATAGGTTATTTTGACGATTACGCGTAGTCTGAAATTGAGCCCGGTATACGTGAATGTTTTCCTGCCATTAAATAAGTCTCATGGGAGCTGACTGACGGAAAGTGGAAAACCGTACCTTTATCCCTCTCCAGGGAATAAAATGCGTGATGGAATCATTTCCTTACTTTAATTATAAAGCATTAAAGTGGTTCGTTTGCCAGTCTTTACCATTTTAAATGTGGGAGAGCCATGCTTCAGCACGAAGTGCTACCACAGCCTCACAAAAGGTCGACGTGAAACAACGCTTGCATTGTGTTTCGTCGCGTGAGTGAGGTTACCGGAGGTACAACTACCCCTCCCCCCCTTTCCCTGAGTCCCCAACAATTTCACAAATTCCTAATCCCCAAAAGGCCAGTAACGCACTTGTAACGTCTCTGGTGTTCCAGGTGTCCATGAGCGACGCCGATTGCTTAACATCAGGTGATCCATCGGCTCGGTCACCGGCTTATCCCATTAAAAAGTCTTTAATGATGCAACGATCTCCTTTATGGTATAATTGTAGTGTCTGGAGATAGTTAGGAAAATAAAGAAAGAAAGATAAGTGATAAAGATCTTTCTTTTTACGTTGAAGCCGTAGTGGAGAATTATTATGCTTATTTCAAGATTTAACCCTTTCAGTACCGTCATTATAGACACAATTAAAGAACAATAGGTGTGCGGACACCGGTGTCCTCGCGGTGTTTGACAGTTTAAAGCCCAAAATTTTACAAATCACTAGCGAACCCAATAGACGTTGTCCTGCATATCAACTTGAATGTATAAACAAAAATTCATTCAAATTAGTTCAGCTGTTTAGGATAAATAACCTAAACATCGACTGCAGCGCCATCTGCCGGGCTGATTTGTGAATCTAAACTATTCCCAGATCCCCTTGAACACACAAAAAATTTCATCAAAATCGGTCCAGTCGTTTGAGAGAAGTTCAGTGACATACACAGTCACAGAAGAATTATATATATAAAGATAAATCTCAATTACTTTATTTCACCTTCGAGTCGACATCTAGTCCCTGACAATCTGGTAACTACTTATCAGGGAACATGACGGTTCCAAAATCAGAAAATCAGAGCGGCACCCTATTACGGTACGCTAATAGAAATAAAATTAAATGTTGCCATTTGCAAGAATTACCACTTAAGTTGGGAAAATTGTTTCCGAGCCAATAAATGTCTAGTTTCAGCGTTTCCTAAAACTTTCAGTTTTGATAAAAGCAATTTGTATGTTTCTGTTGGTGCAGTGTTTATTTGATTTCTGTTTAGTGTATTTTCATATTTTGGTGTTTATTTCTCGAATTTGGCTAGATTTTTTTTCATTGTATTTGTTTTGTAACAAACTCTTTGTCTATTTCTATTCGCTTGTTGGACTAGTATTGGTATTAGCATTTATGTGCAATTTATTTAGGGAGCGTATCGGTCACAGATACGTCATTTGTTTTTTTGTATACCTATTGTGAATTCCTTAATTCCCAAGAGAACACTTTCATTCAATTAGAAAGAGAAGACGCTATGTTACTGTCCTTGTCATTTCGTGAATGACGTCATTGATGTGTCATTTGTTTTCTGAATAGAGAATTCGGTTTTCCAGCCTACTTTCATTCGAGTAGAATAAGCTATGATGCTGACGTCCTCATCATTTTGAGCTTGACGTCACTGTTATGACATTTGTTTCTTTTTATAGTGTGAATAAACTATTTATCCCAGGTGCACGTAAAAATAGTTATCTCAACTATGTGAAATTGTATAGAATGCCAAAATATATAAAAAGATATGTTTTCTCCTAAGTTTCGTAGACTTTTTGGTACGAGGTCATATCACTGTTAGCTTTCATATAGAAAACTTTTTTCCACACAGGTGATGTGCGTGCAGTACTGGCCACCCAACAAGGAAAAGGATGAGACGTACGGAGACATCAGCGTGGGCATCGTGCAGGAGGAGGAGCTCGCCAACTTCCACATACGCACCTTCAGACTGTACAAGAGCGAAAAGAATGTACGTAGAAACTTACATCTGCATTTATATATCCCAACACTAGCCACTTCCACTCGGTTTCACCCGTTCTGTCTAACGTCTATTGATCGTGGCATGTTTTATAGCCTATCGCATTTCTCGATTAATGGGCTACTTATGCAACACAAAAATATTTTTGCAAATCGAATGAGTAGTTCCTAGGATTAGCGCGTTTAAACAAACGTTGCAAAAATGTTTGTTTGAAGGTGAAAAAAAGTATAAGTAAAGTAAAAGAGAAGTTCCTGAGGAAGGTTTAGCTGTATAAACCATAGAAGGATTTGAAGAGTCTTACTCCTCATATCGGTTGAACTACGTAAATGGCTAAGAAATCACAAGTTTGGCTTTGAGAATGATTAGATTACCGATAATTAGAATAATTTACTTTTGAAAATCTTAGAAACGTATAAATAAGACGAGATCTAGAATTTTACTGGGTACGGAAATATGCTCGTTCGATATCTACCTACACGGGAATTATGCCATACGTAACGAAACCTAGGTATTGTATTCAACATGTAACTGTTACCGCTTTTTGAGAAACATGGAGGTACCATTTTATAATTCACTCTGTAAAATTGGCAATAGTAGAAACTCGCAATATAACGACAGCTAAGGCTAATTTGTAAATTGAATTAGTTCTTAGAAACTGCTAATTGCCTTCTAATAATTTATTCACGATTTCTGGAATCTTGTCATCCAACCCTGTCTCAAAGTTTCTATACAAGTACGATGTAAAATAAACACAAATTCAATCTTACAATATTAAACAAACCTTTGAATTATTTGTTGAATATCTTCTTAGTAGCTACTGGGACGCGGTGTCACCCGTTGCTGGGCTCCTATTGATCGTAATGTAATAGCCTATAGCTAGAGAACCTAACGGGTTATCGGGGCTCCGGCTCGAAGTGCAGGAGTAGCAACGGGGTGGTTTTTAGTCAGTAACAGTCTGACACTCCCTCCCGCCTCACCCAGGCGGAAAAAGTCATTCGATGATTTTCACCCCTTCAATATGCCTTGCCGCGGAGAACCTAACGGGTTATCGGGGCTCCGGCTCGAAGTGCAGGAGTAGCAACGGGGTGGTTTTTAGTCAGTAACAGTCTGACACTCCCTCTCGCCTCACCCAGGCGAAAGAAGTCATTCGATGATTTTCACCCCTTAAAAATAGCCTTCTTCAATGAATGGACTATCTCACACGTAAAGAATTATCTGTCGCAGGTCTGCAGGAAGAAATTCCTTTAAGGATATGCAGTACCTATGTACCTAATGCTTGTGATGTGTTGTCCTTTGTAATATTGTCTACTGTATGGTGAACATGAAATGATAAAAAAAATATTTTGAAATAGTAATTCCAGAGTTTGGCGTCCAAACAAATTAATGAAATAATCGAAATAAATAATGAATCAGTTATAACAATTTGTATGGAAACCGAACAAGCACTTAATACGAAAAATAAATGTGTGAAGTTAATAATTTGTTGCTCATTAATTATTATTATATGAACTGAATGTCGTTTATTCAGTCGAAGTTATGCGAATTTAATAAATTCCGCCATTTTCCATTTCATAAATATGTTATTAAAATTACTGCCTCATTAGTAGAGCGGCTGTAAATGCAACTGTCGAGTAAGGAGTCCTAAGTTTGATTCCAGAGTCGAGCAGGGTTTTTGGACTTTGCATTGTTTAGCTCTGCATTCGGAGATAAAAAACCTTGATGTTATTATGGATAGATAGATTTTTACTCTCTTTGTAACTTTTAAACCATTACTTCTGATCCTGCCAAATGCTTTACACTTTTCTAGTTCCTCCCAAGATTCTCATCCCCACTTTCTCCCACAGGTGGTGGTAGAAGAGCGCTTCATCCTCCAGTTCCACTACACACAATGGCACTCCCACACCTGTCCGTTCAGCAACGCCCTGCTGGAGTTCAGACGCCGAGTGCGCGCCGTGGTCGGCAGGAGACTTGCCACCAACCCTGCTGCAGGACCTATGGTGGTGCATTGCAAGTGAGTTTCATATACTTTTAATTTTCATAATGCAACCTCATTAGACATAAGTTCATGTAAGGGCTACCAGTTTTTGGCGCTCCAAATCACCATTACAACCAGCAAAAAACAATAGCCATGAATGCCATGATGCTTGTTTGTCCATTCTTTGTGTGTATTCGCACGAAGCAAATACAGTTAGATATTAAGACAACAATAATGTTAGCTACAAAGAATAGCTCTTATCATATACTAACAAATTCTTATTTACCGATTAGATTGTCGAACGCTACCACAAAACCCAAAAAATATAATTATCTATACACAAACAATTACAGTACTTAAACACTTTTCTTTTTATAGACTAGCTGACTCGGCTAACGTTGTTTTGCCATATAAATAATTTCGTAGAAGGGTGAAAATTGAGGATTGTATGTATTTTTGTATTTTTTGTATGTTTTTGTTTTGTTGTATCATAAAAAAATAGAAATTAAAATTTTGTCTAAAAAATTAAAAAAGTTAGGGTTGGAGTACCCCTAACGACAGACGTTGTCCTGTAATAATAGGTATACATAAATAACCTAGAAACCGACTGCAACGCCATCTGCCGGTCTGATTTGTGAATCTAAACCGAATGGTTTATAAATTTTTTGTGTGTGTTCAAAGGGATCTAGGAATCTAGATCCCTTTGAACACACACAAAAAATTTCAAATCAATTCAGTCGTTTGAGAGAAGTTCAGTGACATACACACTCACAGAAGAATTATATATATAAAGATTATGCTGTATAGTTTCAGTGTCTATAAAACTAACCAGTTGCATTTACCTAACTGTGACTTTCACGTGATCGTTTGTACAATTTACTCGATATTACACCTTAATACAAGGCGACTTTAGCCTTTATTACCTTACGAATAACATCACTAAGATAAAAACATTAGGAAATTGCACCTAAGTGCCTTGGAAACTAGGTGTATCACAAAATTAGTTTACTTACTGAGTGTGTGCCGCGCAAGCAAATAGCATTTGATGCACTCCTCCTTCAGAGCTTGAGTAACATGTAAATTGTTACTACGATGGCATCGTTATACTAACATATTATTGTATTCAAGTACGTAATCATATTTAATGTGTATTTTGTTTGTGTTGTATAAACTTAATGTCGTGGTGACACGGAGGTTTAAGACGCCCGCTTTTCATACATGAGGTTGCGGGTTCGAAACCTACCAATGGCAAGTACCAATGTGACTTTTTCCGAGTTATATGTACTTTCTAAGATTATCTAGACACCACTGACAAAGGAAAACATTGTGAGGAAACCTGGGCTTATAATTTATAATTATATATATGTAATGGCCAACCCGCATTGAGCAAGCGTGGTGAACTGGTTATTGATGTTGAAACCTTAACCTTGCGAAAAGAGGTTTTTGGTAAGCAGTAGCCACTTATACATTAACAGCGTATGTGATTAATAAACATGCGTAGTCTTTAATAAACATAACACCACGCCTTTTATCCCCGAAGGGGTAGGCAAAGGTGCACATTATACCACTGTTGTGGTAGCACCCACTTTTTACTATTTATGTTATGAGTCCCATGTAATAGGGGTTGACCCTATTGCCATATACCAGGCTCAATTCGAGACTCCGTGCTACTACTGAGAATATTTAAAAACCCAGCAATACATTGCCCGACCCGGTAATCGAACCCGAGACCCCTTGCCCGGCAGTCGCACTTACGTCCACTCGGCCAACGAGGCAGCTTTAATAGGACAAGATTATATCATAGAGAGAGAGAGAGTAGAGAGAGAGAGAGAGAGAACTGTGAGATAAAAAACTTCGTATTAAAACGAGTTTTGTCTTCTAGTGACGGTGGCGGTCGGTCGGGCGTCTACTTGGCTATTGACGCAAATCTCGAGCTTGCTGAAGAAGAAGACTGCTTCGACGTGTTCGGATTCTTGAAGAAACTCCGACAATCACGGAAAGGACTTATAGAAAATGAGGTGAGTTTTACATACATTTACCAATTCTTTCTAGCTTTTGCCCGCGACTTCGTCCGCGTAGAATATGATTCCTGTTTTCCTGGGAGCATTTAATCGGGATAAAAAAATCCTATAACCTAAGTCAGACCATACCCTGCCTGTAGGTATACCAAATTACATCAAAATCCGTTAGAGGTTTTAGCGTGATTGACGGACAAACATCCAAACAAAGAAACTATAACATTTATAACATTATAGTGTGATACCATCACTACTTATGTGACTGTCGACAAAACGCCCCGTGTAACAAGGGAATTTTAAAATAGCTGGACTGTTGCAGAAAAATGGTAAATATACGGGAAACAGGTACAAAGAATAATAGCACTGACAGTAGTTACACTTTTCGTATAAGCAAGAGTAAGGCACTGCACTTACAAAAACTCAACAGTACCTAATACAACTTCAATGGATTGATGGTACTTAACAAACTCTATTCTTGACTCAGTCTTAACTAACATAAATTTGACGATCTCCGGCCACCGTAAGCGCGGGCCTGCGGACGGCGAGCATGGGTGGCTCCCCGTCCGACCAGAACCAGACCCGAGCGTACGGCGCGTCGCGTTCCGCGTGCGCTTCAACGAGCCATCAGACCACCACGGATGGGGCCCAATAGGGCTGATGCCGATACGGAGTCGCGGAGGCCTTACCGGGTTGCCGGGGTTCCGACTCGAAAGACAAGATTAGGAACGGGGTGGTGTTTAGTCAGTGAGAGTCTGGCACTCCCTCCTTCCTCACCCAAGCAGGAGAAGTCTTTTAATGAATTCCCCTCTTAAAAAAACTAACATAAATATACCTAAGTGTTCTCATAAACCCGACGACCTCCATTGGAGAAAATAATTTATGCATCTTACATAAACACAATGCAATGCAAATACAGTACAAATTCCCGAATGCCACTTAAATACAGCAACATTCCCTGCAGCACAAAATTGAATTTCACAAGAAAGCGAGTTTGCTTTTACTAGCAACTTATTCCCTCTAATTGAAGATTTTCCGACATGGTACAATAACAGAGGAAATTGAGCTCCAAGTTGAGTATTAGTAGTGATTGTGTAAGCATTAATATCAGTGATTTACTGCGAAAATGTAGCGAAGTGCTCCCGTATAGAATTCTTAAAGAGAACCGTTTGTTTCTGATATAGCTCTAATAGGGTATGTTCTTAAATAAAATGTTTTATTAAAGCTTTCGTGTTCGTGTATCGGTTGGGAAATGAAATGAATCAAAAAGAAAATCTTGTTGTAAACTTTGTGATCAAATTTCGTAAAGCATACCTAATAATGTAAGATTGTTTAAGAGTAATTTTACTGTTACTAGTATTTTATAAATTTTATTAGTGTATGTAAAGCAATGCAGCTTACCAACCACAATCAAACCGCTAAACCGATTGGAAATAAGTTTTAAACTCAATATCTGTGCAGTGTCGCGGAGAACCTTACGGGTTACCAGGCCTCCGGCTCGACGTGCATTAGAAGGAACGGGGTGGTTTTTAGTCAGTAAGAGTCTGACATTCCCTCCCGCCTCACCCAGGCGGGAGCAGACAATCGATGATTTTCTCCCCTTAAAAAAAATATATCTGTACACTGTTGTGATTATCAATAAATAAAAAAAAACCTATTTATTATCTGAATAAAACTTATAAACAACGATTTTTACTTCAAATTATCGTTTCGAAAACATATTTCAAGCACATTTTTTGTGGATTTTCACATGAAAATCAGATTTTTACATAATTATGTAACTATTCTCTTCCTACAGGAACAATACAAATTCGTATACGACACGTTAGAAGAACACGTGGTCTGTGGGGTATCCTGGTTCCCAGTCTCAGAGTTATCTCAGAGACTGAAGCAGAAGTCTCAAAGGGACCCGGTCTCGAAGCTCAATGAATACCAGAAGGAGTATCAGCAGATCTGCAAACAAACTCCTCGGTTCACGATAGGAGACTGTGCTGGTGGACACCGTGGGGATAATCGGGAGAAAAACCGAGATGTGCTCGTAGTGCCTCGTAAGTTATTGTTGATTATTTTATTTTTGACTGAAGATAGGAAATAGGTGGCCACGGTGGTCACTAGAGGACTGACCTACAGACTGACATTTTTTCTTATTATTATTAATTTTTAAATATTTTGTTTTGACGTTCAAAAGTGCCTTCCTGGTCTAATTGAAATAAATGATTTTGATTTTGACTTTGACTTTGACTGACGTAATTGTAGCTGTTCTGGTGTTATGAGTGTGGGCGCCAATCACTTACCAGTAATGTGATCCGTGTGCTCATTTCCCCATAACTTCCTAGCGCTATCAAACCTCCACGATTTACTAAGGTCGATACTGTAAATCGAAATCTAATGCTAATAACAAATCCAAGATAGTTATATTTTTTACTCCGAAACAAAAGTTCAAAATTGCAACACGCATTCAGCCAAATAAAGTTTATATTGTTAGTAGTCGACTGCTAGGTTGGCACGGTGGCTGGACAACTGGCTGCCGTGCAACGTGTCTCGGGTTCGATTCCAGCACGGAACAACACTTTGTGATCCACAAATTGTAGTTTGGGTGTGGGTTTCTGGTCTGGGTGTCATATATATGTGAACTTGTATGTTTGTAAACGCACCCACGACACAGGAGAAAATCCTAGTGTAGGGAACCTTCTTTAAAAAAAAATAAAGTAAAAAGAAACTGCTCATATAGCTTTAATGTGAAATCCCGCAGTAATCAATTATCACATATATGTGTTACGTAGGATGAATGTAAGCAAACAGTACCTATAACAACAAAAATATTTTAAGGATTAAAACTGATTTACTTCATAACGAATCCTCTGTATTCTGGCACGAATGAAACTAAATTTTATAGTAACAAATCACTAAACTACAGGATTCTGTGCATTTTCACTAATCCTCGCGAGGTGTTCCTCGTAGCGCTCCCGTTTTGAAGCGCGCCCATCTAAGCGCTCCCATTTTATTCCCCTAAGTGCTCCCAAAAGGAGCGCTTAGAGGAATAAAATCGTTCCTCAAAGCGCTCCCAAAAGGAGCGCTTAAAAATATTAAAATTTATTTCCTCTAAGCGCTCCCATGATTAACTTTCGGATAGAGATGGGACTATACTAACTGAAATTATCGATAAGAACTAGGTAATAAGTAGAACACATTGTTATAATACACAACTAGCGGCCCGTCCCGGCTTCGAAGAAATAAATTTTAATATTTTTAATCGTTCCTCAAAGCAAGAATAAAAGAGAGCGCTACGAGGAATATCTCATCCTCGCGAACTTTATGCCTCAATAAAGTCAATAAAATGCAAATTATCTTCTACTGTTTGTTTCCATATAACACCATTTACGTTGTTTTATATCTAACAGAAGAACTTTTGTTGCAGCTGACAACTTTCGTCCATACTTGACGTCGTTCCAAGGGAACAGCTTCACCGACTACATCAACGCGGTCTTCGTAGACGTAAGTACTTATTTATTATCGAATCAGTCTGAAACTGTACACATGTCACCTCATATAGTAACGACAAAGTAGCCATTAGATACGGAGTCACGGAGGACTTAACAGGTTGCCGGGCAGTGGCGTAGAGTATCTTGGTGGGGCCCCGTATAAAAATTTGTTTGGGGCCCTTATGAAAGGTAAAAATTTTCAGACGAGATTTTTTTACATAAAATACCTCCTCTGCCCAAATTATCAGACAATGATTAGGTACTTTAGTTTTATTTCTCTTATAAGTTCTCTATTCTCTATTCCATGGTTTCTGTCAAACTTTGAACGCATGCATTTTGTGATTACTGAAGTAAAATATAAATTGAGAGGTTTTTATATTTTTGCTGACACACGTTGGAGGCCCCGTTATCTGGGGGCCTCATATAATTGATACGGCAGATACGGCCCTAGCTAGCTACGCCCCTATGGCTGGGGCTCTGGCTCGCACTGCAGGAATTTTTAGTCAGTAAGAGTCTGACATTCCCTCTCGGCTCACGTAGGCGTGAGAAGTCATTGAATGATTTTCCCACGTTTATACACACATCTTTGTTTTCTGTGGGGGTCCTATAATATTTTGGCGCATCTCGTGAGATATATTCAAAAAAACCATGATTTATGATGAACAGATCCTCTGTGACTCGGAACTAGTAGAGATTTTCTTATTATTTCACATAAAGAAACCGGTGTCGTAAACCCGACTGTTAACCTCTTGAATACATCGATATGAGATACAATAAAAATACACTGTGACTCGTGTGGACCCGCGTTTAGACACATGAAAGATTTGTCTAGACCGGGCAATAACAATAACTGTACCTGATAAACCTTTTAAACTCCCACCTGGGTGCTTACTCTTGATACCAATCTCAATGTCAATGAAATTTCAATCCAATAAAAACTTAATAATTATTCAATGTCAAAACTATACAACCCCCCTAACGTAGTCTTTAAAATATCATTCAGAGTACGGAATATAATGCTAAAATGATACCATTTAGTTCATTCAGTATCCACGCAATACGGGTGCAATGGACGCTACTGTTGCAACTCAAGAGTACGAGTACACAATACCAATGTCGATCGATCGGAATTGAATTCAAGAGTAAGCCCCCTGACCGCCAAAGCGTGAAGATAATCAAATCAAAGATAAGCAAACCATCTTTTTAAGAGGAGGAACATAGTCAAATAGTGGACTGTTGATGATGATGTAAATAATACAATGAAACTTAGTTAAGTGGGACCTGGATAAGTGAGAAACCTACATAACTGGAACTCATGCTGAGGTCCCAAGACTTTGGCACTGAATTACCTCTGTTACTGGGACGGGGTAAACCTCTATATCTGGGATTTGTTCTTTCGATTTATCATCATAGTTACCTCTATAACTGAGACAGCGAGTAAATTTGATATGCATAAACCTCTGTAACTGAGATAACTTGTTTATTTACTTATTCTTATTCTACCCATAAATTCCACACGTAATTCCAAGTCCACCTATTAATCGAACCCCCTGTAAATGAGACAGATATACATGTATGTTATAGAACCCAGTAAATAAGACAGATATACACGTATGTTATCAGTCAGTTAAATGAGATAGATGTCGCGGAGAACCTAACGGGTAACCGGGGCTCCAGCTCGAAATGCAGGAGAAGGAACGGGGTGGTTTTTAGTCAGTAAGAGTCTGACACTCCCTCCCGCCTCACCCAGGCGGGAGCAGTCATTCGATAATTTCCCCCCCCCCCCTCCCTTAAAAAAAATGAGACAGATATATTTATTTATATGTATGTGTATCTGAGATACTAGGTAAGTGGAATACCTCTATAAGTGAAACGACATTGCAGGTCCCTTGATGTCTCACTTAACCAGGTTTCACTGTATCATCTTTTACGTAAGGGGGTCAACATAAAATAGTGTCACTCCAACAGAAATGAAAGTACAATTTTATCAAACAAAATGCAATTTCTTCAGCTCTGTCCTCGACTTAGAAAGTTCATCTTTTAAGTTAATGTGACTTTATTGTGACGGGCACCGGAGCGCTGCACTCAGGCATAGTGTTAATGCTACCTTTGTAGTTGAACAGTAGTTATGGCTTTTTTACTTTTTTTTGCACTATTGCGTCGACTCAGTAACTAATGGAATAGAGAAATGAGGTGAAAGTCAAAGCATTTATTTTAATTAAGCCATAATTTGGTACTTTTGAGACGTCAATAAATATAAAATAAATAATAGTCTATCAGTCATTCCGTCAGTGAAGCTATGTGCTCATTCCAAAATGTAGTTTCAAATGGAGAAGAACGAGCAGGAAACTCCATTCGTTACTCTTTTTAAAAAAGTATGTTCTACAATGTCTCTGATACATATTCCAATACTGTACGTATATGTGAGAACAATGCAAAGACACGCTTGACGCATTATAGGTACTAATTACAAATCTTACTAAAAATAACACATAACATAACATCACGCCTTTTATCCCTGTAAGGGTAGGCAGAGGTGCACACAGAAGTAACACCCACTTTTCACTATTTATGTTATGAGTCCCATGTAATAGGGGATGAACCTATTGCCATATAACCAAAACAAATAAAAAAAACAAATAAAAAAACCATAATATAGTCTAACATGGTGTTCACATATGCAGTACTTCTATTATAATAGAGGATCCATCGTTCTAATAAGTTCCAGAAATGAAAGGCCGATAATATCTTTCTTAAGAGACATTTACTAAAAGCTAATTAATTTCCAGGGTTACACAAAACCTCGTGAGTACATAGTAACAGAGTGGCCTCTAGTGAGGACCCAGGGAGAGTTCTGGTCACTGGTCTATGACTACGAGTGTGCTGCAGTCGTGGTCCTCTGCGTGCCTCCCAAGAATTCTGTAAGTAAAGAATAATTTGTAGTCTATGTATTGCATTTATATATGTATGTATTATATAATAGTTACATCATATTATATGTATGCATATTTGGGATATATATTTATTATTATAATTCATTTTAAGTCCCTATACCCTTAGTTATGTATTATCGACTATAACAATCATGTCTTCCCTCTTTAATATTTTATTACCTTAACTTCGTTATCTACTTCATACTTCCTTTTTACAATTTTGCACCTACCGCTTTAACATTCTGCACCACAGAATGGTCGACTGTCAGAAAATGCCTACGGCATTAAGTCCGCCAATTTCACTGTATGTGCAATAAAGTTTAATAAATAAATAAGTAAATTAGTTTTATACCTACTATATAAAAATAAGTCGGGTTTTCCTTCCTGACGCTATATAACTCCAGAACGAACGAACCGATTGCCACGGTTTTGCATTCGTTGGAAAGGTCTCTGACTTCGTGAGGTTTATAAAATATAAAACAAAAAAAAAATCTTCATTTTTTAATCACCAAACGAAATGTTACATAAAACGAAGCCGTCTGGTGGCGAAACGGAGTTCGCCGGGTTTGCTAGTTCCAGTATAAAAAGTGTGAAATTCGCTTTAGAATTCGTTTAAAAGCTTTTTGTTTTCGATAGACTAAAAAAAATCTAAATTTTGACTTTTCTGAATGAATAGGCAACGAAATATAAAATGAACAGAGATTAAAAATCGTTAAATCTTTCAAAATATGTCGACATAAAATACATGTACCTAGCTAATGTTATCGTTCAATGACAAATGTGCATATATCTTATTTGTTTTTCTTATATACTAAGAGTACATAATGTAATGTTTAGTAGTATTCAAGTAGACCGGTAAAACTTTAACAAACTTACATAACATCACGCCGTTTATCCCCGAAAGCGTAGGCGCACATTATCTACGGCACTTAATACCACTGTACAATGTAACACTCACTTTTGACAATTTATGTTATGAGTCCCGTATAATAGGGGGTGAGCCTATTGCCATATACTGGGCACATTTCCAGTCTTCGTGCTACTACTGAGATTTTTGTTTAAAACACAGTAATACTTTGCCCGACCCGAGAATCGAACCCGTGACGCCATCCCCGGCAGTTTCAATTGCGACCACTCTATCAACGAGGCAGGTATAACTTTAATACGTTACGTTATTGTTACAGCAACAATTTCCACCATTCTGGCCGGAGGGGCGTCACTCAAAGAAGTACGGTCCAGTGTTCACGATAGACCACGTCTCACACAACCACTACACTAACATCAAGACTTGGATATTCAGGATTAATAAGAAGGTAAATACTCGTCCCCTTTTTAATCGACCTCATAAAAATAAACAGTATTTGTTTGACCTGTTTGTACTATATTGGTGGGTATATATGTTAATGCGCGATTGTCTCGCAATTGGCGGAACCGACTTTGATGCGGTTTTCTTAAAAGTATTTGTTACACTTAGGAGCAAGAATATTAACTGAGGAATAACTTTGAACATTTGACAATTCTTCCATACTAAAAACTGTCAGATGTCAATTTTATTCTAGAGGTACAGTTCAGAATTAACTGTACAATAATAGATATATAAATAATAATAATATAAAAATCGACCCCCAGTCGGTTAATAATAAAGTCTCTATAAAAACTTAAAAAAAGAGGTCGTAGTCATTTTTTAAACGTAATATTGTTGCCTTATTCGCCTATTGCTATTAAGAATAGAAAAAAATAGTGTCGTTTTTTTGTTAAATGGATATACTAACCTTTGTTTTATCCAACAGATCATTTCACTGACTGAGCTGATGGCTGGTGTGAAAGCGCCCACGAAAACTGTCCAGCTGTTCCAGCTGACTTGCTGGCCCATGGGTCACAAAGTCCCATCGTCCACAAACTCGCTGGTCGAGCTCATGAACATGGTCGAACGATGGCGGCAACGAACTGACTACGGACCCGTCTGCGTTGTGTCGCCGTGAGTACATAGTGAATTACAATAATATTTACGGTTTACACACATAATTAATGATTAAACGAACTTACCTGTAAGTGAAGTTCTATCCTAATTATACGAAGAGCTTTGTCCGAAGAGATTATATATACATTTATACATTAGGTATACTTGTAGCGACACAGTATGTGTTACTACAAGTATACCTAATGCTAATCTTGAGGACAAAGCTCGAGTATAATTTGAACTTCTCCTTGCGGATAATCACGAACCTCGGTACGATTCGAAACTAATCGAGCATCGTCATTTCGAAAGTTTACGTGAATAAGCCGTAAATTATTGAATGAATGTTTCGTCTTATGATAAATTTGTTGTACAGTGACGGCCGAAGTCGTGCCGGCGTATACTGCGCTGCCAACGCGTGCATCGAGCAAGTGATCCAACACGGCGAGGTGGACGTGTTCCAGGCAGTGAAGACTGTACGCCGGCACCGACCACAGCTTGTAGAGAACATGGTATGTACTTACTACGAAATAAGACAAACTTCACGTGTAAAACATATCACGTCAATTTTAAATTATTGTTATTCTCCACAGACCGAATACAAATACTGCTACGATCTAGTACTTCACTACGTACTGCACTATTTAAATAAAGACATGAATGAAAAGAAGTGAGAGTGCGAACTCAAGGACGAACTCTGGTTCATCGAGTTCGGCCGCGGCGCTGCGCTGCCCACGACGCCCGAGGAGACGTCGCCGGCCGCGCCGCGCGACGCCAAGCGCGCCCGGCCCCGCCGCGGCCTGTCGCTGGACCGCCTGCTGCCCGCGCCGCGCCCGCCGCTCGCGCACGCCGCCACGGAGGAGCCGCGCCGCCCGCGGCGGGAGCGCCCGCCGCTGCGCCGCTCCTTCCGCCTCGACGAGCACGACGCCGCGGCCGCCGAGCGGCGCCGCGCCTTCGTCCGCGGCCCGCGCGCGCCCTCCTTCGACGAGGGCGACGACTGCGAGTGCGCGCGGTCCTCGCTGGAGCGCGAGCAGCCGTCGGACGCGCCGGACGAGGACGACTACGAACCGGAGTTCGCCGCCTCCCCGCCGCGCGCGGTGCCCCCGCCCCGCGCCGGCTCTTCTGATCGAGTGCTGCACGACGCGTCGCCCCGGGCGCCTGCGCGTGCGCACTCCCAGGGTGTCTTCGAGCGACGCCTTCCTAAAATATACAAGTTCGGCCTCATGGACAAATCTAAACGGGCGAGCTCGAGCGCCCTCTACGAGCGAGCGGAGCGTTCGCCAACTGAAGCGTTCTATAACGCGACTGGCTCCACGCGGCTCAGCTCGCAAGAGCTTTTTGAAAAGTTCTGTTCTGAAGAATTTACCTCTTTGTACGGACGAGACGACGACCGACGACGTCGGCCACCGCACTCGAAGTCGACCGGCAGCAGTGGGTCGGACGTGCGGCACGAGCGCACGTGCTGCCGGCGCGCGCCGTGCGGCTCGCAGCCGGCGCTGGGCCGCCGCCACGTGTGCGCCGCGCCGCGCTCCGACCGCTCCACCGACTCGGACGACACGTCCCCGCGCCGCGCGCCGCCCCGCCAGCTGCCGCTCGACCCGGACGCCGACCCCAGCCAGCTGGACGATTGCTCCCGCTCCGCGCCGCTGTTGAGCCCGGACAGGTTCGAAGCTCGTTTCACATTTGATATATCTGAGCGCAGTGAAGTCACGTCTAATCGCGATGAGACTCCTTCAGATGCGACCGAAACGCGTAACTTAACTCTTTACGAAGAACCGCATTCGGATCGCACCAGTCTCTGTGAATTGTATGACGCAGCATTCTCCTCGCATCGGCCATCATTTCGTAGAGATGGATCTCGACGTCGCGCAGGGCCTGTCGACCTGAGTGCGCTCGACTTCCGCGCCATCGACGACGAAAGCCCGCGCCACAGTCGTCGTACATCACAGCGAAGTATGGACGATACGCTGCGTCAGAATTCGGAGACGCGTAGTTGGGCTTCAGATTCAGTATTCGCCACCCCGGAGAGACACGCTGTTGGTGATGTGTCACCATCGTCCAGTGGAACTCGACAATCACTCACTGTACCCGGTGACTCTTCTCCACGCGCTGACTCTGCCGCAGCAGATTCTACCGTGGCTGAAACCACGATCGCTGAAACAACCGTCGTCGAAGAAGAACCAACTAGCGTTATTGAACGCGCTGAATACGCACTTGCTCTGCGACTGGGGCGCATTGAATTGGACGGCGAAGCATCAGAACGTGCATCGTCTACGCCGTGTGGTAGCGCTCGGTTGTCCAGTCGGCCGTCAATGCACAAGCTGGAGCCGTTGGAGCCGCCGGAGCCGGAGCGGCTGTGTGGCGGCGCGAGCGAGGAGCCCCGCGGCCGACGGCGGCGCGGCGCCAGCGAGCCGCGGCGCTCGGCGCGCTGCTTCCCCCTCTGACGTGGTGCGGCGGCGCCGCCGGGCCGGCCGCGCCGCAGCCGCCGCCGCGAGCCCCCCCGAGTGCCTTCCCGTGCCGTGCGTCCGGCGGCCGCGTCGCCGTACCGCGTGCTGCGCGCGCTGCGCCGCTGGCCCGGCCACGAGCCCCGACGTCGCGTCGTCCGGTCGCCGTTGTCCCCCTGTACATTCGCCCCCTCGTAGTTCTCGTCGGTTGCCGGACCGTAACTGCCAAATTTCTAAATATAATGTAACTACTAATTATTTCGTCTAGGTAAGTAGAGTAGCGCCGTCTTTTTCGGTATCGTTAGGTAGGCAGTGCCTAAGTCGACTACGTGCGTAGAGCGTAGATTCTAAATCTCGTAGATAGAAATTGTACCCGGGGCAGCCGCGGGCGCCCCGGTCGCAGTCCACGACTGACACAGGGTCATCGTTTAGCTAATTACACATTAATTAATGCGATGTCCGCACTGACGCTTGTGCTGCGGTTCTAGGTTCATTAATATTCCACGAGATGTATGATTTTTTACTAGAAAAGCAAAACAATGTGGAATCAAAAATGCATGCACTTTAGTCACACTCATTTCATTTAAAGCCAAAACCTAGATAGGTGTAGGAATAAAAAAATGTAGATGATAGATAGCATGGTCCGCGAGAGTAATACACAATAAATCACAGACGTCAGTGCGAGCAGCGCGCGTCGCAGCGCCATGTACCGAGCGGTGTGCCGCGTGATCTAGTTAGAACATAGTATATAAATATATTACATTTTGGTGATTTATGTGCTTTTTATATTGAGCTGAAGCGTTTCTTCACGTGACGTGGAGTTTCAGGGCACACGTCAACTACCGCAGTTAGACTGAACCTGGTACTGTTCTGTATAAAAGTGTTTCAATATAATATTTTATATTCTCGATACCTTGCGTTCAACTGTTTTGGTGTCGTATTTGTCGATGTTATCAATGTTTGTCTAGTTTATTCCAATGTGTTAAATATTTTGTGTCATTCTGTATTACATGTGACGATATATAAAGTTATATTATTAGCGATACGGATTACTTATGTGTAAGCTTGTAATTTGCTGAATATTTCGGAAAGATAATGTCGATATTTAATATTTGCAATATCGTGCTGTTAGTTTTATACGTTATTATATTTCAAGTGTGCCAATTCTTCCAAAGTATATATAAATATGTGTTGGCTCATTGAAGTTTATAGTTTTAATGTTTCACGAAGTGGAACCATTCTGTTTCTGTGTAAAATGTAAAGTAATCAAATTTATGTTGTTAAAGAATTTATTAAGTTATGAATATATTTCTTAAAATAAATAATAAACATATTTTCATATATATTTGGTAGTATTTATACAACCTTCAAATTGAATTCAAATTAATTATGAATATTTATATATTTGGGCTTCGAGTCGATTGTCGTTTAGATAAATAAGAATACTTCCAAGTATTTATTTTAGTGGACGTATTATTAGCTCATTTATTATTGTTGTCCTTCCATTATTTATGTGTAAAATATTTGATATTTTAAAAATAAATGTGTACTTATAGTAAATCGATTAAACTATTTTTAAATGGCGATGTCAAAGTATTGATGCTTAATTTTTTACAAAATGTAATTATTTTCTAGTGTTGCGTCACAATATTGCTACGGATTCGCTTGATGGATGAGCAAATTAATTTTAGTGAGCATGGCTATGAATTATAATATTTTCTTAAGCCTTTTAATGTGAAAATTTGTATTAAAGTAATTTAGTTACTAGTTCGTCTACATTATATATATGCAAACGAATGTTACGCACAACCTACCAATCCTAACCTTTATTGATATAAATATAGTTATACCCTTTTGACTGCAAACATTATACAGAGCATTTTTTGAGAAAACGTTTACGCTTTTCTGAAAATTAGCGGCTATTATACATAGATAGAATGCCAACATCAATAGTGTACCTACAGGTTTGATAAAATTTTGTATCGATGTAATTTATCAGCGTCCTCCCCGCTTTTGTAAGCCACGGATACGCTTTGCCAGTAAAATAAAAAAATAAGAATTTTATAGGCGATAACAACCGTGTTGGCGACTGTACAACGTTATTAAAAGACATTATATTGAGAATTGTTTGTAAGGTTTTATTTTGTAATTTTGCTACGAGGGAGGTAGAAATCGTAAAACTTTTGTGCTTCAGTGTACTTAAATAAACGCCTGTAATTCGTAAAATTTTAGGAATTTACACCTATTTATAATTCCCGTGTCCTTTTATCGAAATTTGGACATGTTTGAATTAAAAACCATGTTCATATAACATTTCTACCTCTCTCAGCATGGAGTTCAGTTTTCTCGGTTTTCTAAGATTTTCAAAATATTGATTTACCACCTAGGTACGTAGATACGTGTTGTAAATGCTTTATTGTAAGTTAAAATTTCATGTGGACCATATTTGATGTTTTTTTAGTAATAGTTAATATCTATAAACGTGAACAATTTCCTTTGTAATTAAATTAAGTGGAATATAACTTAATATAATGACGTCTCGCCACACTGACCATCTTTATGTAAATAAATTAGAAAAAAAAAACTAATTACGTAGTCAAAAGTACCTACTTATACCAAATTATGAATATTGTATACCAATATACATACATATTAATGAATTTGATTATTTATTATATATTAGGGGAATGTGAAAATTGTAACTAATACATAATTTATATAGAAAACATTGTGATTTCAAATTTCAACTTCCATAATATTGTAAAATAACTTATTGAAATATTGTTGTCATAAATGTTATTTGAAAAGGTAATTTTAAAATTTATACATGAAACTTAATGGGAAATATATTTATTTGTTGTATAAAATTATTTGTTTCATTCAAAATCCTTCTACAGACCTAGTCGAACCCTAATTATTTTTCAATTTGTGCTAAAGCCTGACTGGATCAATTACAGAAGAAAATTAGGGAGAACTTTATTCGAAACTAGTAGAGCTTTTCTCAGTATATTTACGGAAGTAGTCTTAATAATTTAGATAGAAAATTATAGGTACTCAAAGAAAACCTTCCTTTATTTTTGAAAAGAAAGAAAACTGCATTCATAGATTTTAAAAAATTCTTTTGCCGCACACGTAATTGAACCGACTAAAATCTGTGAAAGTTGCATCCTGTACTATTATTGCATCGATTGTTAGTTATACCGTAGTGAACTTCAACTCTTAACTCGTTT